CACACACACACACACACACACACACACACACACACACACACACACACACACACACACACACACACCTTAAATGGTTCAACTTAAAACTTTCGCAAATAATTATTCATAGCCTGGAGGCCATTAAACATATGCCACATTTGTTCAGCATAAAACTGAATTGAATTGAACAAGTTTGTCATTGTTGATCAGTGTGTTTTTTCTGATGTATAGTTAAACAGATCAAGCCTAACTGTTTGTGTGCATAATACGATCAAATATAAATATGAATCCTTTATATTTATTCAGGATAAACTGTTAATTAAATTCCCAGATTTCAGATTCAGATGTTCGTAGTGTCAGATTCCCTTGAACAGTTTTAGCCTGGTGATTTACATTACATCAAGATAATTATGTCCAGAGCTGAGATTTATTAAGGAGGTGTAAAGTAATGCACATCACAAGATTCTTCAAGGCAACAGAATCCTGCTGGTTGTGTTACAAGTAGGCATAAACATACTTCAGCTCACATATAGCACATGGAATGGATGTGGTACTAGGAAATGAATTTTAGAATTTGTGTCTAGGTATACAAACTACATAGACACTCCATCGTCTGTTCAAAACAGTATATCCAATGCAAACGGATGTTGTTGAGCTCTAAATGAGAGGCAATCAATCCTGGATGTGATGTCACCTCTACTCTGCCCACTACTCACTTCCATCCCTAAAAGGTTGGGGAGTTAAAATGGCTACCAGCCTTGCAAGGGTTTTTTTTTTTTTTTTTTTTTTTTAATGATGAGGGAAACAGGAGAAGATGCTGAGAGAATTTAGATCGCGAGGGTTATTATAGGGTCAGGGTTACCTAAGATTTCCAAACTCTCTGAAGGGTTGCAACACCTGCCATATTGGGTTTCCCATCTGCATAATCCATTAAGTGCGAAGATAACAATTGCGCATCACAGGGACATAAAAATACACAGCAGCGAGTATAAACAATGTGTTTACTGTATGGACCAGATGTTAGATGGACATACATAAATCAGTGCCTATTTGCGTTAAACAAACCTTCAGTAAGTATTCAGTAGATTCTAAGAAAGTTCGGCTATAACATTCCAACAATAACGTTTGTGCGATGTTGTAAAAAAGTGGGTTTTCTTCACCAGGTTTTCCGAGTTAGACAAAAGAATAACATAATGTAAACATTAGAGCTACCGTTCCTTCAGCTTTTGTAGGAACAACAGTCATAAAGGTCCTGTTTAAACCTTCGCAAAGCATCTCGGAAAACCCAGAAAAGTGAATTTTCATGAAAACGAACGTGCCTATAAACTGATAAACTGTCAAAAACTGATAACTGTAAGTTGGCCTGATGTCAAACTTATGAACGTTGACGAAATATAAGTAGATGTAACATAAAAGCCGTACGTTTACTTACTTTACATAAGACTAAACTTAAACAGTTCGAATCTGAGGAGTTCAACATGCATTTGCAACTGCAAAGATTTTTCTTTGTACGTCAAAACATCATACACATCGCAAATTGCACAAGAAATACCTTCACTTCATTTAATGTTTTTTACATACTTGCCTGTGTTGTAACACACCTGCTATTTAAACCACGCTGTATTCATCTTTACACCGTCATCTACGCTTCATGGCAAAAGATAACTGAGTGCCATCATGTTTCATCGAGCAGTAATGATGATCGTGTCAATCAACACTTTCCATAAATAGAAACCCCGCTCCTCTTCTTTGAAATCTCTCCCACTTTTTGTGGATCTTTGTGCGAGCGCCTGTTTCATGTATCTATTTCTAAATTTAATCTGGGCTCCGTGCGATGTTGGGAGTGTCTGCTATGATGCTGGTCCCCTATAATTCTGTCTGGATGAAGCCTGAAAATGCAGTTAGGACACGATTACCTGGACACGTCTGGGAATCTGCTGACTGAAGGTATGTGTGGTGTGGATCGCCTCTCCTTCATAGGACGGATTGACCTGATGGTGTCATTTATTTCAATTTTTGCTTGAGATTTCGGGGTTTTTAATGCAGTATAATGCCTTACATGCTTGTGTTTTTCACAAGATGCTTTGTACACAGCGGTTTAAACATCCTGTATGGCTTCAAAGCTCAAATTTATGTATCAAATATTTGTACCTTTTAATACGTTGAACTTGCATGCATCATAACCATCAGCTAGCTTTAAACATTACTCTGAATTTGTATATATTCTGTCACATTATAAACTTTAAAAAGATTAATGATGAAGCAAAAGCCATGTTTCGATAGTAAATGTACAATCATCTAAAGCACGCTGTGAATGTTTTATTTTTCTTAATTAATTATTATATTCTACCAGTGCAAAGATATAGTTATGGAGAGAATCGCAGCTGAGTGTACAGACAGAGAAGGCAGCATGGAAACAGAGGAGGAAACAGAAGCAGAAAAAAGAAAGGAAGACGGTTGGTACATTTGAAGAAACTTGTAATGAAAAGAAATATGCTGTTACTAATAGGATGGTAGGTGAATTTGTTGTGTAAAATTGTGCAAAAAAAAAAAAAAAGATCTCACTGCATTTTGCCATTCTTGTCTCGTGGGTCAGACCTCAGTGGTGTGGAGTGTCAGAAAGCCTGGGAACCAACCTTCTACTGCAACGTTAACAAGGAGATTCATTACTACGCTGGACGTGAAATCAAGATCTACGAGTCTCTTGATTCTTATGGCGCCATCATCTGGCCCGCAGTGAGCCATCACTATCACTAACACACAAAAAAAAAACCCACAAAACACCCTCAAGAATTATTGGCACCCTTCATGAAAATGAGCAAAATTACAAGATAAAAAGAATAACACATGAAAAGAGCTCAAACCTACAGAGATATTGACATATTGTTTTATTTTATAATTAGTGCATTATTTTGCCCTGGAGAGAATATATAGCACTGAGTCTCTTCCTGTAATGTTTCACAAGGTTGGAGACACTTGTAGAGGGATCTTGGTCGTCCATGCAGAATGTTTTAAGCTCCTTCTTAGGTTTGTGCGGGTTCACCTCCCTCAACTCCAGATTCGACTCCAGAGATTGAGATGGTCATTGCAAAATAGTGATGTTGTGTTTCTTTATCCATCTCTGTGTTGATCTGGAAGTATGTTTGGCTCATCATCTTGTCGAAAAGGTCTTGACCTCCTGGCAGAGGCAACCAGGCCTTGGGCTGAAATATCCAGGTACTTAGCAGAAATCATGATACCATCAACCTTCACAAGAGCCCCTGAACCACCAGCCAGAAAACAGCCCTAAAGCATCACCGACCCACCTCCATATTTTACAGTGGCGTATCAGGTGATATTGTTTGTATGCAGTCCCATTTTTGTTGCCAAACATCCTGATGACCAAAAAGTTATTTTGGTTTCATCTGGCAACAACACACAATGCCGAGTGCAGTTCTAATGATGCTTGGGTAAGTTCAGGCGCTGCATTTTGTGAGCTGCTCTCAGGAACGGCTTCCTTCTTGCAATATCTTCAAACAGCTGTTATGTTGTTACGGAACAGTTGATTTTTAACCTTGACCACCACCAGAATCGAGTAAACTGTGCAAATCTAAAACCGTGATCTTTGGAACCTTTTTTTCTCTCCATCTTCAGCATTCTGACTGTGTTGTTGACAGTTTGCTCATGGGTCCAAATCCTGGCAAATACTCAACTGTTTCAGACATGTGAATCTTTTTATTATGGTTATTTATTTTTGTATCAACTACCTCATTTGTGCCGGTCAACAACAACCATCTGTCTGTTGGGTATTGGAAGTGACATGAGTGCAACCTTGTTTTTTAGTCATTTAATTTGTCACCCATCTGTGGTGTGCATATGCTTCATGAGTTACCTCGTATGGAAAAGGAACAAGACTCAGAAGCTGGGCTGGAAAAATGTCAACAAATGCAAAAAAGGAGAAACAATTAATATTTTAAGCAGAAGATATGTTTGAAATTGTAGGATTATTATAGGTCAAGAAACAAACAAACAAAAAAAAAATC